TTTTAATATAATTTATTATATAATATTATATAATATATATATTATATTTATAATTAATTTGACCAATTTGACCAGTTCGACTATTTGACCAATTTGACCAAACCAATTTGACTAGTAAATTTTTGGTCGATCACTAATTTGCCCAACACTGATTACAATATAAGAACTTTAATATTTGACTACCGGCCATCTCTGGATGCCTTTTATTCCAGAGACCCGATTCCAGTTATATGGAGGACCTGTATCTATAGATTACGTCGCGTATCATATCCACTGATAAACAAGGCACGTGGTTGCATTCCTGGGTATGTCCGAATTTGGGAGGTAAATAATGTCGATCTTTTGGAGAGAGTAAGCTAAATTGTCTACTTTTTGTCGAAAATTTTGGAGAAGACCGACTGGACCAAGAGAGACTTAAGAAAAGAACCACTAGCACCCAAAGAGAGTATTTTATTCTTGAAAGAACTAATGACTAGTAATCCTTTTTCTAGGAAAGGGGAAGAGCTACTGTACTTGCTTTTCAGTAAGTGATAAACTCTGGACTTGTCAGCAAATAGCGTATGAGAACTACTTCTAAACGACAAGTGCTATACCAGCAGTGAGTAATAAACTCTGAAGAAGTTATCAGGTAGCATATGAGAACTACCTCTAAATAACAACTGCTGACTTATGGTTTCCAGTTTTGTGCTCTTTATTACTTACTAATTACTGTTTTTACAAAAATTATTTGAGAAATTTTGGTTTTAGTGATCATCAGAAAGAGTTCTATAATTTTTTTTTTTTTCTATTAATTATTTAGCTTATTAATATGTTTAATAAATAAATACATATTTTTTATTTTGCAAAATTCATATTATTTTTCTGATCTATTTATATAAATCTTTTTATAAAAAAATATTATATAACTTTTTTTTTTTTTTTTTTTTTTTTGTGATGTGCCCTTTTGGGCCCCTAGCTGTTTTTTTTTTACCCGGGTGGCGGCCTCCCGCGACTGGAAACATTATCTCACTGGAATAGATGTATATTAGCCAATAAGAATTCGAATAAGAATTAAGATATCGATATGCATGTATTAATATTGGCCAATTAGAAAATAATGATGGAAAATTATAAAATCAAGAAAACCAGGCAAATATAGTAACAGAATCGTTTGTCAGCAAGTATTTATTTTTTTTTTTTTTTTTTACGATATGGTCGAAGTTTAGCATATCATTTATAAAATCTATCTAGAAACTAATGAAGTTTTGGGTTAAAATCAAAAAAAAAAAAACTAATCTATTTTTATATAACTTGGTTTTTTGAATAATGAACCAAATAGATTTTTTAACTCCCATTTGGCTTTAAGATCTACCACAGGATGTATATAGTTACTTAATAAATCGTTATTCAAGTTACAACTATCATCCTCACGTTCTGCCTCTTCTTTTTCTAATTTTGCAGTTTCCTTGTCCTTCAACATTTGTTCCCAATCATCCAACCAATTTTCCCAACTATCAGAGGTAATATCTAAATCACTCTGTTTGTCTTCGTCTAGTTCAGCTAGATTATTTAATTCACTTGGTTTAATTCGTTCTTGTGAATGAGTTGATTTATTTGCCTGATTAGACGAGGTATTGTAGAATTTATTTTGTTTCTTTCGTTGAGAAAAGTTAATTGAGGTATGAATTTGGCTCATAGCCAGTACTTTATCATTCTTTTATTTAAAATTATTATTATTATTATTATTATTATTATTATTTATTTATTTTTTTTAAAAAAAAAAAATCTTTAATAAATAACATCTGCCTTGAGACAACATCGTCGGTTTGTTTGAAGAAACCCCATTGAGCTCCATAATCGTTCAACCGATGCTGCATTAACACAAATCCCAAATAACCTCACAGCCAAGAGACCTAATTCTTTAGTTGATGGGGAGGCAAATTCTCAAAATTTTAACACATCCCCTTTAAACTGTTCGTATGTTACGTGGTCAAACGGATACCTATATTTTCTATATTCTTCAAATTCGAGTAGAATGCAAGTTGGTCGATGTCCAAACCATGCTT